TTGTGTAACAGAAAACACTTGTATTTGTTGGTCAATTTAAATATTTTTATGGAATTTCTTTTCAAGCCTTTTGATCATTTTTCTCTTGTTTTATTTGTGGATGTGTGTTGATTTTTAGTAATCATTTTCATTTTTGGATATCTTGTTTTTTGCTACAATCTTCTGTCTCATTTAAATGCAATTTGTCGTTTGTAAATGATATCATTATCTAATTTACAGTTTTAATTTCCTTTCTGTATTTTGCTCATTAAATTGCATTTCAATTGTTTTACTTTAACCTTCTGCTTCACTAACCCTTTTTAACATTATGTTTAATTAACTGTTCAACTCACTGCATTTGTAACTATTGCTACATAAAATTATTACAGAACTTAGTAATTCAAACTAATGATTATTTATTGTCATCCATAAATCTCTGACTGAGCTAGGAATTTGCTGGGGTGAGCGGGTCTCATCTAGGAACAATGTGGGTCTCAGATACCACGGATGCATTAGAGGACGGTAGATCTAGACTGAGCTTCGGTAAGGATGGTCAATGTGGTTCTCACCCATTAGATTATTTTTTTTTTTTTTTTTATCACAATGGTAGGGATACAGGAGAACCAAAGGAAACACCAAAACCGCTCATAACCTGAGATCAGAGATGTTACCCAATTTATTAGCCAAAAGTAAGATAATAGGGAAATGAACTGTAGCCTGACTACAGGAACTGTCAGTCCTGTGATAAAAGATGCTGCCTAGGGAGGACGGCACAATACAGGTAGTGAGGCCCTCTACCACGTTCATACACAGTTATCATGCTTTATGTGTCCTCAGAGCTGAGCTGAAGGCGAAGACATGGACACACACTCTAAATAGTTTTGTGAGAGTGTCTCTGGGTGAGATTAACATATTAAAACAAAAACAGAGATCTCTGAATAAAGTAGCTCTAAAATGTAAGTGGATTTCATTTAAATATTTGAATGCCTGGACAGAACAAAAGACAGACTTCTTCCCTGGTCTATAACCTAACAACTCATCTGAAGTTTTTGGAATTCATAGTCTCCATAATTTCAGAATCATATGAGACAATTCCTCTCACCCTCTCTATTGTCTTCCTGTATCTCTGTCTCTGTCTCTTTTTTCTACACACACACATACATACACATGCATGCACACTCACATTTGCTATTTCTCAAAGAACCTATGCTACTTTTTCTTTGTCGTGCAATAAATCTGATCAGCTTACAAAGTCTGTGTAATCAGTATAGCTGTCTATCTTTAAATACATAACAAATGTTTAATTTATTAAATTTATTTATATTTCATACATTTAAGTATGTTATAAATATTTCTTACACTTATTCATAACTAGCATTGTATATTTTGACATACTTTTAAACCTATCTCCCATTCACTTACTCTAAGTCCTAGATATAAAGTCTTTTATTCTTCATCATGCCTTATTTCTATTTCCTTCATCATGCTTTATTTCTTTTTCCTCATTTTATTCCTTATTTCTATTTCCTATGCTATTTCTATTTCTTACTTCTATTTCCTCTGACTTCTTCCCAAATTTCCTCTGTCTCTGGTTTCTGCTTAAAATATAGGCATAGACTTTGGGGATAGGAGATACTTGTCCTGCTTGGAATTCTGAGTTTCCTGGTATTTCTGATTTGCTGTCTGTACTAAAATTCCTATACACTATTACCTCCCAACATTTCTTCAGTTCCAATCCTCTTCTCCTGGTGGTATCTAGCGACACTGAGGGTGTGCTTTCACTAATCATCTCATAGTTTCTAGATATTTTCTCCCTGCCTTTTAATTTTTTCTCTTTACTTTCACTTTTGGAAGGTTCTATGCATATGATTTCAAACTTACTAGTTAGTTCCTCAGTTGTTTGGAGTCTCATGACAAATCCATTTTAGAAATTCTTCATTCTTCATTTTTAGAATCTTTTGACTTTGAGCATTTCCTTCAGATTTATTTGTAGGGTTTTCATCTGTGCTTATACTTATCATTAAATTTATCCAATAAAGTTATTATTACTTTACTCATTTATGTATTAAATTTCTGGCCTGATAATTCCAAAACTTTTGTTATGTTTGAATTTAGTTTTTATGCTCCCTTTATTTTTTGAACATTTTAGCTTTCCATAACGGCATACAACTTTTTCATTGAAGTTAGATTCGATATACCATGTAAAAAGAAACCAAACAAGTCTTTATTGTGAAGTCTACTGCTTACCTGTCTAGGATGTAGGAGGTACTTAGTGTTTGGTGTAGCTGTTAAAGCAGGTTTTCCCCTGCTGTTTTGTTTTAGTTTCCTGTTGTCACTGGATTTCCTTTCAGATTCATTCTTAAGGATTCTAGGCTCCTGGTTCTTTTAGCATAATCCACTGATGCAGGAGTCTGACTGATGCGATAGTAAGATATCAGGGGAAAGAAGCCATGTTATGACTTTGTGATCAAATCTCAGTCTTTAGTGCGCCCGTGCACCCTTGGTTGTGAGCCTTAAAAATACCTCTCACTTTTCTTTTTCTGTCTTTTAAGAGAGACTATATTTCCATATCCTTGAGGTAATTAGGCTATGGTAAAATTGAAGTTTTTAGTTTTATGGCTTTCTCTCTTTCTTTTTAAAATTTTGAACTGAAATCAATTTTTTGTTAAGGAGAAGAAGCTGGTCGAGGCATATTTTAAGTTACTTTCTCTCTTCCTGCCAGAAGTGAAGAGTTTCTTTCAGTTATCAAGTATGAGACTTTGGTGAGGCTCGTGGAGGTAAGATTGACAAAAATATGGGGCTAACCAAGGGTTGAACCCTGAGAGTTTTAGTTTTCAAGCTGGTATACACTGAGCCTCTGGTAATTAATAATTTACATTAACATAAGTGCTTCTAAGAGTGTAGGCCCAAGCTCCTGCTTTGGGTGTCTGGGCTTCTGTTCTATGTGAGCAGAAGGTAGTGTGATTCTTAGTGTTCATATCTCTCTCGGGTTTTTTGTTCAAATTTTTTCCCTGGTGTCTTTCAGTTCTCTGTGGGGCTAAGAAAAGTTGTTGGTTTTCATCTTGTTAGACTATTTTTGTTGAAAAGAAGAGTAATGGTTTCCAAGCTCTTTGTAGCTTTAATGTGAAACCATACACCTTATTTTTTCATGTGCTTGCTTAATTTTTTCTGCAAGTTTGTGTTCCGTTAGGGTTTTAGCTATTGAATTCTATAACATCTGGTTTGAGAATGTCTTTCTTGAGAGATTTGCTTTTGTTTCTGCTAGTAACATAAGAGAAATATAGTTCAGAAATGTTTTATATAATTTCTTTATTTAGAAGTTTTAGTAATATAGACCCAAATTCCCACCTGGTTTACGGGCTGTGATCTTGTTAAGAATTTACACAGAAAACTTTTTAAAGTTCATTACAGAAGACCCAAATCTGAAAATCATACACACACACACACTACACACACACACACATGCACGCACACACACACGCGCGCGCGCGCGCACACACACACACACACACACACACACACACACACACACACACGGCAGTTTGCTCAAGAAGAATTCATTCAAGAATCTCAGTTTAGGGGGCTGGAGATTTAGCTCAGCGGCATTAGTGACTGCCTTGCAAGCAGGTAGTCATCAGTTCAATCCCCAGTACAGATAAAAAAAAAAAGATTCTCAGATTAACTGTGATTCTTATGAAACCTCACTTTTCCATAAATAAGAAAGGAGAGTACTAGTTATCAGGGAATCCATTGTGCCTTTAGGATAACTTCCTTGATTTTCATACTCTACTTCTGATCTCACTTCTGTCTGTCCTTTAAAAACTTTCTCTGTTTGCCAGAGCAAGGAATTATACATTTAGACATTAGTAAAAGCAATAAAAATACTTCTCATTGTGGACTTAGGCTACTATGTTTCTAGGAATACAAATCTCTTTCAGTATTTATCTATTTTATATAGTAAGATTATTTCAAAAATATTTTAAGATGAAGGTTTCATGGCTTAGGTTAGAGGATATCCATGAGTGTTTCCTCGTCAAAAAATGGCAGTTGGGGTCAAGAGTATGAACTTGGAAGTTAGCATGAGTTTGATTTCAAATATACCTAATTAATAGTTAAGTGATCCAGTTACTAAAATGTAGTTACTACAGTTTCTTAATATGAGAAATGAATATAATAATGGTACTTACTTCTTAGAGTTTAGGACTAAATGACACAGCTCCATTAAAAAACACCTAAAATTGTGACTGTCAAAAGACAAGCACTCTTTACTAGTATTACTTTTATCATTCCTTTTTAGAGGTCATTCATAATTGGCCCTTCAAAGATCATTAAGTTTCCATTATAGGTCTTTAATATTGTAGTAATTAAGGGCTGGGGATTTAGCTCAGTGGTATAAATGCCTGCCTGGCAAGCACGAGGTCATGAGTTGGATCCCAGTACTGAAAAAAAAAAATTGTAGTAATTAAAAGAGTTTCTTCTCTCTTTGGAGTATAGTACCAGGGTGAAGTCATTACTTCTAGACTGGCCTTGTTGAGAACCTGGAATTAGGACTTTTGACACAAAACAAATGAGCACACATCTTTCAGGTACAGATGTGCATACTGTCCTGAGAACCTACTTTCCTCAAAGGGGAAGGTTTTCGTTGTCCACCATCAAATAACAGAATGGTGTATTTCCTATGGAATTGAGGTTTGCTAGCTGCCCAGGGGCAACATAGCTGTATTAATATTGGCTGATTTAATTTCTTAAACAATAAAATAGCAAATGCCTATGTACACAATAAAGACATAAAACAAGTAGGCTACTCACACACCTACCCTGAATCAGTTTCTACCTTTTATATAACAGCCAAAGTCTCAAATTGCATATGAGGAAATTGCATATGAGGGGTCACACTGATTCACCCCTCCTTGTTACTTACCAGTTTCACAACATGTGTTGTCTTGGACCCTCAGGAAGCTCCATGCATTCCTGCACAATCCCTCCGCCCAGAGCAGTTGTGACCGAGTGAGGAAACTCACCTGGAACCAGCATCTGTGTCACATCAGTGGGGTGCTCAGAGCCATGGGAGTGTTTCATGCCCAAGGGAAGACAGCACAGGTTTCACAGAGTGGAGGTGGTACTTTAGCTACTTCTTGACAGTTGAGGAGGAATCTGTGTTAGGGGAAAAAAGAATTTCTAGGGAAAATGAACTTTACCAGCAAAGGTAATCATTTGGAATAGTATTACACTTCACCAGCAGGGAGCAAATCCGTATGTCTAAAATTTATGATATAATTTGGGGACATCTACACAAAATACATATAGGAGACTAAAATTTAGTGTCTTTAGTTTTCTTGAGAACTCTCCATTGCTGTTTCTATAATGATTGCCCCAGTTTGCACTCTCAACAACAGTGCAACCACACATACACACACACACACACACACACACACACACACACACACACACACAAGCACACAGCCACACCATCATTTATTATTTGAGCACATGACATTGGCATCCTTTCTGGAGTAAGATGAAATCTCAGTGTTGTATTAATTTGTACTTCTTTAATGGCAAGACATGGTAAACTTCTTTTCATATATCTCTTGGCTATTTGTACCTCTTCTTCTGAGAAGTTTTTATTCCTTTTAGTTGCCCATTTTTTTATTGAATCTTTAATTTTAGGGACAAAATATTTAGGTATCTTTCTGAAAGAGCTAAAAAACATCATATTGCTGTGAGTTTTGTAAATCCGTGCTTTTGGCAGTGCAATTCATAGTAGCTCACTCTTGTAAGGAGCCTATATCCTCATCAACAGATGAATAAATGTAAAAAATCTGGCATTTATACACCAAGGAGAACTACTTTGCCCAAAAGAAGGATAAGAAGTCATGTTAGGAAAATGGATGCACCTTGAGACCATAATGTTAACTGAAATAAATCAAACACACAAGCTTGATATACCATGGTTTTTCTTACTTGAAAAATCCAAAGTATAAATAAAGAGCAAAGTAAAAGATAGATAATAGGAAATAGGGAGGTGTATCTTTTGCAAAAGGGTAAGAGGCTGAAACACAGAAGAGGGGGAGTGGGTGAGAAAGGAAATGAGGTGTGGTATGTACATGTACCAACTTCCCACAGGGAATGTGATCATGTGCTACAATCATGTACTAATACAAGTATTGGGAAAAAATGAAAGGCTGAGTTAATTTTAAAAAGAAACATTTAATGTCTTGTACTGAAGTTTGGGGCTTCATCTGGAATTTGGTGTACCTTTCTGACAAAAAGTAAAACAGCGAAGGACTTGAACATCATTGTACTTATAAATCAGAGCAGTAGGGCACCAGATAAAGAGTTTTCACTCAGAAAGCCAATTCAGAGGCTGCTGGTGGTCCAGGAGACATAGAATGTTACAAGCATGGGCAGAAGGTAATCAGCATAGAAATAAAGGCACTGCTTGAAAGATATTAACATGCAGACAAGACAGGATTGGGTGAATGACAATAAATGAAGGATAAGAAAGAAGTAGGACAGGGCTTAAGGAAGATTCCTAGCTTGGATGGCCTACTTAACTGACATAGCACTAAAGTAAAGCATTAGAAAAACATTAACTTGATTTTAATTTCATACAAGGAAAAAATTAAGTAAGACTCAGTCATGTAAGCATGAAGACCTTTGCACTACTCAGTGTGGGGCCCTGTGCAGCCTGGGCTCGCGATCCCTGTCTTCCCTTGGAGCAGACACCCAGGACCCCACCAACTTGCAGCTCCCCTGAGCTGCCAACTCTACCTCTGTCCCTGCAGGATCTGCTCCCCCAGAGCTCTCTGCACAGAGTAACTGATTCCCCACTTCCTCCTCTCTCCAGCCCCCAAAGACAAGTAAACATGACATTTTAAAAAAATTACTACTAATCACCACCAGGAAATGGAGAAAAGCAAGAATAACAAACACTAGGAAATTCCCAGGCTTAAGAAATCTTACATTCTTTTTTATTCTTCTTACCTAGAGTAAGAGAGAGCCAGTTCCAGCAGCTCTCCCTGCTCTTGTTAATCATTTATTGCTAAGGACAAAGTCCAGCCATCTCCCCAAAGTAGTCTAGGTCAATACTTTAAGAAGAAGAAATACTGATTTATTTCTTAGGAATTCCGTTTTCTTCAAGCAGGTCCGTGAATTCCTTTATATGTGCGCATTAGTTTGAAAATATTTACTGACTATTCCTTTTTAAGCGCTGCACCAGACCCTGGGAATAGAATAAAGAAAATGGCCCAATCCATGCTCGAGGGGACTCGTCCCTTAGTGATGCGGGAACTTATGATTGTTATTTCCCCCAAAGAACACCATGCTTGAGTACCTTCCATGGTGGCGGGAATTTTTAAAAACTAGGTATTTTATTTACTACTGCACTTCTATCACCAAGAATAATGTTTGGCACAAAGTGTTGAATACCCAGTACATATGCCTTGAATTTTGCAATGTCCTCTTTCCAAAAACAACAAGGTCTTTAAACATGTTCTTTTCTTTTTTTTTTTTTTTTTTTTAATCGGTACCGGAGATCAAACTCACAACCGCCTGCTTGCAAGGCAGGTGCTTATGCCGCTGAGCTAAACCCCCAGCCCCTAAACATTTTCGCTTATGATTGCCATGTCCAGTTTAGTCCTGGAGGCATAATATTTTCATACTAATAAAAAAAATGAGGAAAAAGGAAATTCACTTGTTGTAATTTATTTTACTTCATTCTTCAATTTCACTTATTTTCTATGAAATGTTTGAAAAGCGTTGGGTAGTTATTTACAGTAAGTTTTATTTTGCCTCCTTTAGACCCACAGTGTGGAGTAGCAAGGGGAAGAGAGAGAACAATCAACCCAGGGCTTCAGGATTCCATCCCTACCTGTGGCAGGTGGGATTTTCTAGCAATAACTCCCAACACTCACACTCCTTATGCACTGTGGCTCCTGCTCCTACTGATGGTGGAAATTGTTTCTTCTTCGAGAATCTGTGACTCGGGGGTTGTGGATTAGTTGGAAGTGATGTGCTGTGGCTTCTGAGGCTGGATCATAAAGGGAAGTCTGAGCTGCCAGTTAGCTTTGGAGGCCTGAGACGTCTAGCCATCTGACTGGTTTCAAATCACCGCACTGGAGGCGGCCCCAGCTTGCCTGGGAAAGCGGAAGAGGGATGACACTACACTCTTTGAAGAAAGAGAATTCTCCATCCACCTCTGCATCCTCCTCTTTGTTCTCCCAGCGCTGGCTCCTGGCAATATTCCCTTGGAAGGTTACAATCAGAGTTCCCAGCTGAGCCGCTTGCAGATTCCTGACCCACAGAAATTTTGAAATATAATACAATAATTACTCCTGTAATCCATTGTATTTTTTAGTGGTGTGTTACTTAGAAGAGATAACTCAGTACTGATTAATGATTAAGGCTCAGTTTCCCAGGAATCATCACTATATTTCCTCAGCTCTCAAAAATATTTTTTCTTTTTTTTCTCACTTTTCTTACCTTGTTCCCACTCTCTTATTCTTTCTTCTCCTTGTTGTTGTTCTTCTTGTACTTGTTCTTCCTCTTGTTATTCTCCTCCTTTTTCCTCCTCTCTCTCTCTCTCTCTCTCTCTCTCTCTCTCTCTCTCTCTCTCTCTCTCCTTTGTGTGATTTTTTGCCCTAGTTTGTGAGAAGTGACCCTTCAGTACTGTGTTTGGTTTTCAAAGCGTGGTCAGTCAACTTGGCAAGGGTGAATAAAGCATCCAAATCTCTCCTAATACCTCAAATCCTTAGCAAAATAAAATAAAATGCTCTTCAAAATTACAGGAAAGAGCATGGAGGAAAAGAAGAAAGAAAGGAAAGAGGAAGAGCAGGAAGAGAAGAAGAAGGAAAATCAGGAGGAAGAAGAAGACCAGCGGCAGCAAGGAAGAGGGGCTGACTCACTCCATTTCTCATGATATACAATCTCGAAGCTATTCTAGCTCTTATCCTATTCAGAGCTCACCACTGTGAACTGTATTATAATTTTATTCTTTTCCAGGAGCAGAAGCAGTCACAAATTTCACATACATTGAATAATTTAAAATTAAATTTCTACATATAAATTGTTTCATCTACAAAAATAAGAACAGCAAACTTATGTTAACTCTTGCAGCCCTGCTGAAGAGAGATCATTTTGGTCCCTGGTGCTTTTCTTCCATTTGGTTCTTCCTATCAAACTGATATTTGGAACTTATTGTGAGTATAACTTCCTTTTCCACCTCCTTTTTATTATACAACAGATATCAAATACACTTATATTTAAAATGAATATTTTTCTTTAAAAATTTAGAAAACTAAACAACTAAGTGAAAAAAAAGAACAAAATCTTTTCAGAATAAATTAAAATATCTCTAATTTGGACTTATTTAGCTGAAAATGAATGTCCTAAGTGACAGCCAGAGCGAAGATGATGCTATTCTCAAGTGTGACTAGACCCAGACATTGAACATGTCAAGACTTTCTGCAAGTTTTTCGTCTCTCCTTATCTATGTGGAGAAATTTTACTGTCTCCCACATCACATGAACTTTCTCAGACAGCTTGGGGGTGGAAGAATTCAACCACAGGCAATTTCAGTCTGAGTCTACCATTGATTCTCACAGGTGACCTCCCAGGAAAGAAATACCTCATCCAGCTGACTCTCTGTCTTTATTTGGAAGCTGTAATCTTCAGAGGTCCTGCCTGCAAATTCCTTTCTGGGTGTGAAACAACTTCCCCAGCCCACATAAATGAGCTGGCAAACAGCAGTGGGTTCTGGTCCCCCTGGATCACCCCTCATGAATGTCCAGCCAAGTTTGACTGGATGTTCAACTCCGAACACACTTCTACTGGCATGAAAAGTTAACCTTATGATAACCCTCAGTATGTCACCTGAAGTAAAAATTCCCTCCCACTTTGATTGCCTAATTCATGTGATAATTCAGACATCTTTGAAATTCTTAATACCTAGGATCTTCTGTTACAGATTACAGATTGCCTCTAAGCCTCTATGGGAGAAAAAAAAAGGAATAATATTAAAACACCTGTCCTGTGCCAAGTACACTCTAGTTTCCTTGAATATATTTCACATCAGTTTCTTGCCACAGTGTAAGCAACTATCTTAAATTCTCTGTGCTAGTTCATTTCTACACCTCGACTGTTGGACAAAAGCTAGTTCTACTTTAGCTGCTGGTGTTTTAGAGGACCAAACATAGCAGGTCTATTCTGCAACAAAACTTAGAACAAGTTAAGAAACAGGAAGATGAAAATTTTCAAAGTTCTTTGTTAAATTAAAAAAAAAAATTGGCTTGGACAACTTGGCTTGGATTTGCTCATAAATAGGTTCTGTAACTTTCAGTTCAGTGCTCATCCTCCCATAATTCCTGATGCCACAGATTTTGGGTCAGCCTAGCTGAAGAATTTGTGCCTACAAAGTTCACATAATGTTTTGGGGACAACAGGAGCAGAAAGAAAAGTGAATCTACGGTATCTCAATTATTTAATGAACTTTTTTTTCTTTTAGGAGCTGTCTAGAGATGTCTATTGCTATTCCCGGAGAGAAAGTTGAAGATATAGTGCAGAAATAAGCAGGGGCCATTATTCTTATGAGGGAAACTCCAGAACTAATGAACTGGGAGGAAAGGAAATAATAGTCTAACACAGGGAACTTAATGCTGGCTCTTATTTGAAATTCCCAAGAAACACCTCACTTGCTATCCACCCCCTCAATAATGAAAATTCTCTAAAAAAGGACATAGCTGGCACTTTTTATGACTTTCATAAATTATGTAAAATTAATTCCCAAACACATCAGTTTTCCAAAGTTTCCTTTTCTGTCATGTAGTTTGCTCATGGCTGGTGTGTCCCCCAGTTTTGGGTACTGACATCTTGCCCTTCCTCCACTCTATTGTAACATGGGATGCCTGGGATCTTTACAGAAGAGGTCCTGAGGTCATCGAGGATGCTGTCCTTGGAAGGAATTAAGATAGTTCTCATGGAACTCTTGACTTCTCACAAAAGTGAGTTACGGGAATGAGCCTCACCTCTAAATTGCTGTTTGTCTTCCTGACTGGACCGTATGCTTCTCACCAGACTTGAGTTGATGTGGGCACCATACCTTGAATCTCTATATCTGTGAGCTAAATTACCTTTTAAACTCCCTCAGGTCCTTCATTCTTGTGATGAAAAAATCATTACCTATTGTTACGCTGCGAGGTCCCTTATTGCACCCTCTGCCTGTTGTACACAAACTGACTTCTTTAACTCTTTTCCAGAATCCTCACCCATTCCTCAGGTTTTCTTCGAACATTTACCCTCTGCCCTATCTTATTTCTTCATTCTTGTCTAATCACACCTGTTCCGTTCATCACCAGAAGGCCATTAGGATGCTCTATGAAGATGCTCTATCCTTCCTTAGATGGCACTGGTTAAAGAAGGTGATATTAAAAGTTACCTTACAAGGGGCTGGGGGTTTAGCTCAGTGGCATAAGCGCCTGCCTTGAAAGCAGGCAGTTGTGAGTTTGATCCCCAGTGGAATACTTTTGACTTACATCTAGACTTACATCTAGACTGACTGACTTCTGTAAGTCAGGTTCTGTGCTCTGCTAGTAGAGGTTCAAAGGTGTTACAAAGGTCAGTGTGTTCCACCTCTTCCTGCCATGCTCAGTCCTGCTTCACCTTCGGGTTTGTTTCCATCCTGAAAGCAGTGTGGTTCTCAGGGGCTCCCCTAGTTCCTTTTGGTTTCTAAAACGAAACACCTTACATTGGTACTTCATTTTTTTTTTTTTTTTTTGTACCAGGAATCTACAAGAGCTATATCTCTCACCCTACATTGGAGCTTTATGAAAACCAGAAAACAATTGCCACTATTCTTCAGGCTAGGAAGACTAAGAGCAAGGCGGCAGAGAATCAGGGTCTAATGAAGATTTTTCTCATTTCTTTGTCTTTATATGGCAGTGGTGGTGAAAGGTTTTCTCCACCATCTTCTACACGGGCATTGATGTAATTTGTGAAGACAGAGTCCTTGTGGCTTACTCACTCACAAAGGGACCCGCTGTTTAAGGGTAACACAGTGGAAGTTAGATTTAAGTCTGAATTTTAAGGGACCACATTCAGGCCATAGCAGGGGAATTCTTTATTATGTCCTTTTTTATTTGTATCTTATAAATAAACCTGATAAATCCTCTATCCTGGCAGTGTACGTCTCCGTTTATCAGCTATCTCAAATCACTTGCTGATTCATTAGCTACATTTTAGATGATGTATAAGTAACCTTTTGCTGGTGTGTTGATTTGTTTGACAAAATTTCTGACATGCACAATTTAAAGGAGGAGAATTTTATTCTGGTTTACAGTTTCAGAGGATTCAGTCCCTGATCATTTTTTGGCTCTGAGGCAGAAATAGCATGGCAGAAGGACTTACTGGAGTAAATCTGCTCACATCATGGCACCTAGAAATCAAAGAAAAGAGAAAGAGCGAATGTACAGATAAGAACAGGCCTTCCAGGAGGATCAAAGACCCTCCCTCCTAATCAATAACACATCCAGCTGTAAACTATTAATGGTCTTGACTTGAGGTTCTTTACCAATTTTTCTGATTTGTTTTGATTGGATTTGTTCTGTTTTGTTTTGTTGGATTTTACTATCTTTAAAATAAAAAGAAATTTACAACACCCCATGATGCAGTCTACTTCCAGAAATCTCACATCTGACCCATCAAATTTTGGAGGATATTTTAGATATAAACATAACAAATGCTCATATAAATTATTTAGCTGTCATTTTGGGATAGGTGGTAAAAATCAGGACTGATCAGAATAAAGTTGAACCATATGCTTATTCTAATTATAATAATAAAATCTATATCAAATGCTGACATTAGTTTTACCAGTGTTAAGTATGTGTTGCAATGCTTTGGTTAAAAGGTTACTGATAAAAACAAATACTGATAAATACAACTAATAAGAAGTTGTATTTATTTGGTTTTTCCCATTAAAGCCTTTGTCCATATCTGAAATTTTAGTTTGCTAAGATTTTGCACTTAGTCTTTCCATGTAACATCTTCTCTGTCTGTATAATCTAATCTATTTTAATTGCATCATTTATTATCTTTTTGCTAATGATACTACAGTTTTATCTCCAACCTATGGTACATCTACAAACTTCAAATATAGTACTGGATGAAGACAAATGTTGGACATGATGAGGTGGCTGTTCCATGAACACAGATCTGACAGCTGAGTTTTGAGAAGGTACCCAACACTATTCTAAAGTGGTTATGTATTATTGTTTAATTTTAATAACTATATGAGTTTAGCAGTTCTATTAATATATTAATAACAATTCTGTAAAAAAAGACCCAATACAATACACACATATATGAAGAAATTTAGTCTAAGGAATTGGCTGTCAAAATTATGGAGGCCAGCAAGAGTGAAAGAATATCAAATGATGCAGTTCATATCCAAAGTGTACCAGGCTGAAAACACAAAAATTAGTCAATGCCTCAGCTTAAGTTTGAACACTTGCTTCTACAGAATTGTCTCATTTTCAGAGATCAGTCTTATTCTTTTCAGATCTGCAACTGGTTTGATGATATCCAGTCATTCTATGAAAGGCAGGATGTTCACTCAAATTCCACCTATATTAATCTCAGTCAAAATTTCCCTCACACAAACAGCCAGAGAAATCATCATAATCACTTACCATATTAAGTATGAAATAAACCTGGCCTTGCAGAGATAATTCACCCAAGGTCACACTAGTAATAAATACAGGAGTTGGGATTCAAAACCAGGGAATCTAACTCCAGAAACTCTTCTCTCAACCATCACATTATTTTAAAATTTTCAATCTCAAGAACAAACTCATCAGAATGTTATGTCTCTTGCCATATCCCATATGTCACTGAAAGAAATGATTCTACTTAGTTTTCTAAGTTATCTATCTAGAAGTCACTTTGAGTGCTCTGTCATAGTCAAATTATTCCTTCAAAAAAAGTTTCCTCTTGTTTCTTACATGTATATACATGACTGCACCAATTTCTAAAAGTGAAAACCTTAAATTGAAGTTCTTTCTTCACTATGGATAATATCTCATCCATACGTTATGTTATGACAGAAATACTTGATCTCGTTCTCTAGCACCTTTTTTAGGTATTATTTCCCCAGATCTGGAGAATATTCCTGTGTCCCTGTCCCTACACAAAAGTGTGTACAAATGCACATAGAAACTCAGACCACCTACCTAAATTCCAATGGTCAATTAGTAGTCTGTTTTCTTCAGCATCATTAATTGATCTAACAAGAGCTAGTGAATTGGTTCCTTAATGCTTTCCCAGTCTCATGTTTCAAAGCATGTTCACTGTGCTCTAATTACCTGATATTCTGGTCTTAATGTTTTCCTTAGATTTATGTGTTGGAAACGTAATCTCCCATGCAATCTTCCCATATTGGAAGATGAGATCAAATGAGACTTATTTAGATAATGAGAGCATCACGAACTGTCCAGTGGTTTAATATTGCTATAGAAAAGCTTTCAGGGAAGGCTTCACTATCTTTTGTCCTTCTGCCATCTACCATGTCAGAGAAAAGCTCTAACCAAATGTTGACACCGTGACTTTGGACTTCCCAACCTACAGAACTGTCAGCAATAGATTTCTATTCCCTATGAATCAGATATTCTAGTAGATAGTCTCAGATGTTCTGTTACACTGGTATGGCATGAAATAAGAAAACTGGTTACGTATACTCTACAAAATGTACTGCATGCAGTCCTCCACATTTAATACAGTGCCTCCAAATGATGCCTGCATGTAATAAATACCTTTGGGATTCCATCTCTGTGTTTTTTCTCACATGTCAGCTGCATCTCTCTTGAACTTGTAATTTTTAGCTCAGGCATGCTGTACTGAAATACAAATCCATGTCAAAACACAGCATCATAAAACTGTAAAACAAATGCTTGTTGCTTCTTAGTATACATTCTTCACATTTCACTGTGCAGGTTGTATGCTAATCAGTCAGTACACAGTCACATTATTGGTGATTTGATAGATTAGTGATGAAGATACTGCATTTCATATAAACTAATAAGTAAATAATACTTAACAAAAACTATTCACGTTGTCAGCATTATACCTAAGAATGGCTATTAAGGGAGAGTGGAACGAGCCATAGAAATGGTAGTTTCCAGGTAGAAATTATGGTTTAAAATACAGTAAAACAGGAGAAATACAAGACCAGAATCCATGGCTAGAGAAAAGAGAAGGACCAGGATGGGAGCAGTCTGAAGCTTGACCATATGGCCGGAATTGTTTTTACCATTAGAGAACAGAAATATAAGGAGTGGCAAAGTCAGTGTCCCAGGAGTCTGGAGAAGGTTTATTTGAATTTTATAAGCATGTGACTACTCGTCATTCGTATATAGCTGGATCATGTATAGTTCGGCCGGCACTTCCAGGTTACTGAAAAGAATCAACCATAGTCACAAATAGAGTAGAAAACTGCACCATATCTGTGGGAAAAGGTTAGAAAGCACTGATAATAACTATAGAAATTTATTTTATGTTTTTTTACACTTTTTATTTCTTTTTATCGGTACCAGGGTTCGAACTCACGACTGCCTGCTTGGAAGGCAGGTGGATGCCACTGAGCTAAATCCCCAGCCCGTTTTACATTTTTGATGTTGTGCAAAAGGCTGGTGCTAACCAGAAGTACAATAAAAGTCATTTCCGACTGATATTTTAAGAGTTTGCTTAACCAAAAGGAGCTTTCTCAGCCAAGAGCATTCTTCTTTGCTTCTTCCTTCTATTTTTCCCTTGGGGTCCCCTGGACCCCCACCCATGTCTATCCTACAGCACAATAACTAAGTTATTCTGCCAATGCCTGGGATCAAAGTCCACGGGTAGCACACCCTAGCTACGTGGGCTTGGCCAAGTTGCTCAAGCTTTATAAGTCTTAGTTTCCTTGTTTGGCAAAGTAAGAATATAATAATGGCTGCATATCAGAACTGTGAAAATTAAGGAGCTATATGAAATCTTAAGAGTGCTTGCACAGAAGCTCTAGGGTGTTAGATGCTGTTTTCAGAGCTAGATCCAAGCTCCTATGCTTGAGTAACACTTTATGCAAACCTCTTTACCCTCCTTAGACTTTGTCCTTTTTTTCTCTGTCTTGCCCCTGAGCTGGAAGGTCTTTGAGGGCAGGTTTTATGCTCTGTGTACTCTTGAGTTTAGATCATAAGGACTAGTACTGACCACGCTGGTAAATCAATAAACCATGTGAGAAATACACTGCAACTTCCCTTGTGTCTTCAAATATAAAAAGGATCCATTAGAATACCACAATTTGTTTAAAACTTAGGGGGAAAGTAAAGGAATCCAATCTATTCCCAAGTTCCTGGGCACAGGCCAACAAGAGCAAAGGAGATTGCTTCAAAGTGCAATCTGGAAGTTGCTTCTGCTTTGTTTAAAAATTTCAATATATTATAGTAATTAAACTACTTTACGACCTCATTGAAATCCTGCAAGGCTTAATTAATGTTGGTAAAGTGTTTTGTGATCCTCAGATGAGAAGCGCAAAAAATGTTAAAGAATGATTATTATTATCACTGATAACATCTTAAATGACTGCACCTGAATTTGCTAATTAAATCCTGGATATGACCATGTAGAAACATAAGCAAATTCATTTGTACCACAAGAACTAAGTGTCACTTAGAAAGATGCAGACATATTTTATAGTCAGATTTCCATTGCTGTGACAAAATACTTGAGAAAATTAATTTTAAATGAATAGATAATTTGGTGATTTTTGAAAATAACAGCTTCATTGAACTAAAATTTGCATACTCTACAATTTATAAACTTAAATTGTATGATTCAGTAAATTTTAGCATACTGACAGTGTTGTACAACCATGACGACAGTCAAACTTATATGATAATTATCTCAGAACACAATACTCTACCCACTATCTTTCATCTAATTCCTACACCCTAAATCCAGGCTATCACCGAGCTTCTCTCTATTTTTACAGATTTTCCTAGGCTTATAACAGCAGTAAAGACCTTAACTTGTCCAAGGAAAGGCAAATCCTGCAATATGAGCCTTCACACCATATTAGAGTAAAATTAGAACTCAGTGGCAGAAACATACCTGGAACACAAT